TCTAACTTACCATGTTAACTGGAAACTGCTCATTGATCTTCTGCGTGTATCTTTAGTTGTCCCTTCTCTCTTTTTGCAAAACCAAGGACTTGCTTTCCACTGCAACTCTGCCTTTCTTCCTTTCGGTTTGGCCGTAGTCTTTGTGGGTTTAGCAGAAGAATGTGAACATGGAGCAAGGCGACAGACATGTAATTGATAGCTGGTTTACAGGGGTGCAAAATGCGTAGAATAAATTTTGGTAGCAACCCTCTTATGCTTGATAAATTTTAGAATTTCTGCTTGGACAAGTCCTTGGAGGACTTTGGAAGGAAACCCAACTGTTTTCACATGGGTAGCAACACATTCTCAATAGTTTCTGCACTTGGTTAATCACCCAACAGTTGGTGGAATTTATCAGCTGATCCTACGAGTGTAGGCACAGAATCTCTTATTTTCAGTGCAAAACAACCATCCTTAATCTGGCATGTTCCAGATTCACTGGGAGTGTTACGATGAGGGGAGTTCTGGTCCACCATGCCTGGAGTGAACCAGGGTATTCACAGAATCCCAGTGGTGTGCCAGAATCAATCAACTGGCTGCATTGAATCCCCGAAACCCCTCCGTGCTGCATTTACATTACTGACCTTGCAGCTGTAGGCCATGCTTCCCCAGAAGCAATGCCAGGAATCCTCTCCTTTCTTCACCAAAGCTCCCCTGGCTCATTGATTGCACTCACAGCTTTGGCTGGAGCCAACTCTCTGATCTTTGCTCTGTGAAAAGCAGGGGGGCAATTTCATTTGCCCCCAAACAGCTGCTGTTAGTAAGCACAGTTGTGTTCTGAGGCTACCGGAGCTTCTGTGAACTTGGTCTCTTAATGGCTCAGGGAACTGTGCAAAATTTCCTTTTCACTATTGTAAAGGCCCTCCCGCCTGGAGATAGCATGTCCAGCCTGATTTTAGGAAGAAATTCTTCGTTGCCGATCGTTCCAGGCTCTTGCGGTGGCACTCCCAGCTCTGTGGCAGCCGCTGCGGTCTTTAGCCAGCCTGTTTTGCTCTCGACGAGGCTCTGTTTAACAAAGAGCCTGTAACAAACCTTTCATTTAGGAGATTTATGGATGGGGATTTGTCCTTTTAGTCCTCATAATTTGCAGGACTGTAAGTGAGATGGGCTTTTGCCAAGGGGAAGAGCTGCTTCCCCCACTCCTTTGGGAAGGCGACCATCTCAGCTGGGCCTTTCATTCCGACCTTCCAGCGTAACGCATATGCCCGCGTCTCTACTCAGCAAGCGCAAATATTACTAAAAAGAAGTTGGATGTGTCTGTTTACATCCCCGAGCGCCCCCCCCCCCCGAGGGAACAGGCGCTGGGATCTGATGAGCATGCACTGGGCCTGGCCCGAGAGAGACGAGTACGCTGGGGGAAATGCCATCCGAACTGGCATCTGGGCAGGATGAATCATGCTCACACAGAAGCGGCTTTCAGCTTCATGGTATCCTCTCCGTGTAGTTTGGAATGTCATGGAAAACCTGCAGGGCTGTGCATTGCCCAGGATTCTTGGAACTGTAGCATTCACCTTACCTGTTGGTTGCTTTCCAGGTACTGGAAGAAAGTTCTTTAATAACATTTACTTACCTAATTCACTAAAAAGCCACCAAGGTTGTGTACAAGGATTTAACAGAAATAAAAGTATACTGTATTCCAGTGTGCTGATCTTCAGGTGTGTTGAACTACTGCTCCCATCATCCCTCACCAGCATTCAGAAGAACATGTGTGACCAAGGGCCATCTAGTCTAGCACACTCTTGATACGGTGGCCGACTGGCTGCCCACAAAAACCCACATGTGGGATATGAGTGCCCCCGCTGATGTACGTAAACATGTTGCTTCTGATTCCCACAATGTATTATTCAAGAGGCTCAAAATATGCCTTTAAATAAAGCTATTCAGCTGCTGTCCACATACAGGAGGGCTTGAACTTGGCATTCGGGTCAGTCAGCTGCTTTGGTGTGGATTCTGAGAAAGGAGTTTTTCACACAACATTCAGCTATGGCCACCGATTGGGATGGGTTTAAAAGGGGATGGACAGATTCATGAAGCGGTGGCTCTCCGTGGCTACTAGCCTCGCTGGCCCTGGGCTCCCTCCTTGACCAGAGGCGGCATGCCTGTGCATGCCAGTTGCTGAGGAACTGGGCAGGAGGGGGTCTTGCACCCACCCTGCTGGAGGGATCCTGGGGGCAGCTGGGTTGCCACCATGTGCACAGAGTGCTGGACTGGCTGACCTTTGGCCTGATCCAGATTGGCTTTTCTGATGTTCTAGCTGCTCCTCCATCTGGTGATTTCCATCCGCCCAAACAGAATTTTCTCTCCTGCACCCAGCAAGCCTTAGCTAAATCAACATGGCCATCACCGGTCAACGTCCTGCCCTTCCTTGCCCTTGGTTAGAGACTGCTTTCTTGGACTTTCCGTCCTGAGGCTAATGCTGCGTCTGTGGGATTGGATTGATTCTCCTGGTGTTACTGAGCTACCAGGTTTAGGCAGACACACCCAGATGGGCCACAGCCTGTTGGCCCTGCTCCTGCCAAAATTAACTCTGGATTTCAGCCATCACCACTAAGCACAGTTTCTTAGAGACAACCCTGCTTGGTGCAACTGGAAACGATAGAACCTAATTGTTCGCTTTTCTTCTGAATTCCCGTGTTGTTGCTATTTCTGCATAACCACAGCGAATAGCATTGAAAGTGCCCAGCAAGGGCTTGGTTTTAACTTCTGCCAACATCTTCCTTGAGTCCTTGAAGAGTTTGTGTGTGTGTGTGTGTGCCTGCGGGTGCAGAAACTTGGTTTCTAATCTGTGGTACCGTTTGATTCCTTGGGAAAAGCTTTCTCGTTGTACAACCTATTCTTCTGTTATAAATGCTCTTGCATTTCTCAACTCAAAAGCACTTTGGAATGGGTTCAGGTTTTTAATATCGCACAGCATGAACCGTGTTTGGAGGCATCCATGGGGAAAATTCTCTAGCAGCTCAAGAATTGTGCCCCCCCCCCACCTGCTGCTCCTTTCAAACGGTAGTTTTCATGTCTGGATCTGGCAGCTTGTTCACTGCAGGACTGGGCCCAGCTTTCTGCCATTCTCCAGTGATGCTGTATAGGGCCTCTTTCCATAACTTTACAGGGAATGTGATGAAGCATCTAACTGTGGAGAGACTGCAGGTGAAAAATGGTGGTAAGAGGAAAGGACGGATGGATGGACGGATGGACGGACGGAAGGAGCGAGCAGTGGGCACTTGTTCTCCACCCTCTCTGCCCGGCCACAGCACACTGTTTTCTCAGCTGGAAAAGGTTCTGGGGAATCATCTTTGTTTCTTCTACAGACGCTTTTAAATGCAAAGAAATGGTTTGGACTCCCATGCAGTTTTCCTGGTTGCTGCTGCAACTGGATGGTGATATCATGGAGGCCCACAGCTTTGCTCACCCTGGTGAGCGATTGTTCCCCATTGTGAGCCCCCAAAGAAGCTTGGAGTGAGATCAGGGCTGTCTTGGCCCAGATGGGCCCCGAGCACTTGATCAGCTGATGGTTTCACATAGTGCCCAGCCAGAGTGGCATTGGCTTCTCAAACAGGCCGTTGCCTTCATGCACCTCCCTCTGCGTGTTGGCATCCAGCGTGACATAGTTGCTCGGGCCCAAGTTGCCGATCTCCAGTGCTCCCCTTGCTGTGGCCAAGGGGGTCACCCGTGTCCGATCCCCTTTCTCAGCTCAAAAGTCCGGTAAACCCCTAAGATAAACTGCGTTCCAAAAGAGCTGAGAAAGACCGTGTGCTGCATGAGCTTGGGGACAGGAGAAGGTACCTGGATACCCCCGCAGTGTGCTTCAGCGGTTCTTTGAGGGCCATGAAAGTTTGCATGGCGTCAGAACAAGGCCATGCTGTTGTGGGCCTCTCCTATTCTCTCAGAGCCCTCCGAACCCCGTCTTGTATTTGCAAGCAGCTGCAGCTCATCATCCAAGAGAACTGGGGACTGTCCATCTCTTCCTCCTACAACCCATGTGCCCCTCTCCAGAGCGGTCCTTTTTGCTCTAACGCTTTCTGGGCTATGCCTTTTTCCTCGCCATCTTTCTTGGTCTTGTAAGTCATCTTTGTTCTCTTCCTTGGCATTGCCTTTCTTTCTCAGGCACATGAAAGCTGCCTCTCCCTCCAGCTGGGGAGGGTCTCCGAGGAATCCGGTTGCAGCTGACACCGATTCTGGCAAGCTGAAATTTGTGGGGCCTCATGAAGTCTCAGATGGAACTGGATATCCAAGAATGCGTTGCCCATTTAGCAATACAACGGGGCAGGGGTACTTCGACCCCCCTTCCAATCGTAAAGGCTGACAGTAATCACTGATGTTGCCAGGATTCTTGGTTCTAGGCGTCTTTAGAAGGAGCTGAATCAGGATAGGTTGACCAGGAGACTTTTGCAGGGTGATTCCCACGTTCAAAGTGGGTGGAAGAAGTAATGCCTCACTGTTTTTACAGTTCCTGCTCTCTGTTACAGTTGGCAGAAGGATCAATCAGTCTAGCCTAGTCAGGGCCTTTTGGCCTATTCAGAGTTCAAAGAATTATTCTGCAATTTTTAGAATCTTCTCTGCTGTTTTTCTAAAGTACTCTATGAATTTATTTATTTATTTATTTATTTATTTATTTAGGCTTCATTTCAGAATTTGCATGTAGAGTGGGTGCCTGGTGGGAGAATAACTTGGGCAGTGAAAGAAAAGGCCAGCTAGTTAGCTTCTCCTTGGTATTCCATTGCAATCGGGTTGCTATTTGCGTAAAAATCAGTCACTCCATTCTTGATATGAAAGGCATCCATTTTGGTTTAATTTTCCAGTGAAAAGTCTTCCTCTTGCACAAGAGCACGATCATGTTGCAGAGGAGGAGAAGCAAACTTGGCACTGCTGCATTCGTGGTTCCGCATTGTCAGGGCAGGACTCTGACTGTGACTGAGGTGTTGGCGTTGCTCGCTCATCTGTATGAAAGCCGGAGAGAAGTGCTTCGCCCCACAGCAGCGGTGTGAGCAGGGAAATATTTAATGCCATGCTTTATGAGCGGTGCTGCCTCTGGTGTGTAAAGATTTGCAGTGTGCGGGTAGAGCAAGCACTCTGCGTTATCTTCACCCTTTTTAGTCTTTGGCTGAAAGCTGAGGGAGGAAAGATGCAGGGCCAGATTAAAGATGCCGCAGCCTGGTACCTACTCAGTGGCCCGAAGTAATTAGCCAGAAGTAATTATGAACATTCCCTATCTTTGCCACAGTTTTCCTGAGCTGCGCCTGACTTATCTTTCAAAGCTTGAGGTTTCCATATCTTCAGCAGTTGTGGAATTGGCCCGGGGAGGGGAAGCTGCAGGCTTGTGCTTAAGGCGTAGGACAGGGTCTCCAAACTTGCTGAATTTGGTGTTGTGAACCGGCCAGAGAACTACTGAAAATGTAGTAAATAAATAAACGCACGGGACTGCTGTGGGCACCACCACAAAATGGCTGCCATGGAGTCTGTCGCTAGTCATATACAGGGTGTTGTGTGAAGGAGGCTGGCTAGTCAAGAGGTGGGGTGGTGGAGAGAAGTACCAAAGGTCGGGCATCCAGGTATTGCTTTGCAAAGCTGGACCAGCACACAATCGCATCTCTTATCTTGGAGTTAATAGGTGATGAGATGAGCAATCGGGCATGTATCACTGCAACCCCGGCGTCCACCTAAGCTCACACCAACTGCCCCAGTGACCCCATCCAGCCACCCCATCCTCTGCCCTCCCCTTCTTCTTTTGCCATCAATCATTCCCAGCATCAGGCTCTTCTCCAGGGAGTCCTTCCTTCTCATCAGGTGTCCAAAGTATTTGAGTTTCATCTTCAGCATCTGGCCTTCCAAAGAGCAGTCAGAGTTGATCTCTCTAGGACTGACCGGTTTGATCGCCTTGCGGTCCAAGGGACTTGCAGGAGTCTCCTCCACCACCACAATTCAGAGGCCTCAATTCTGCAGTGCTCAGCCTTCCTTTCACAGCCCAACTTGGAAAGGTCCAACTTTCACAGTGCCATTTTACAGTTATCCAAAGTGGTGGCATCACTACATCTTACAGAAGTGAATTCCATCACTTGCTTCTGTGCTGCGTCGAAGTCTTCCTTTGATCTCTCCTGCATCTCCCACCATGCTGCTTCCTGGGATGAGCCCACCAGGCTGTAGCCTCCCCTTACAAGGGTGGGAGGGGGGAGTGCTTCCAGATCCGCCTTCTCCCTTGACAGTTGCTTCCGCAGCAATACAGAAATTTTAGAGGCTCCCCTATTTTGAGAAGAACTATCCTAAGGTACGAGATGATTACTCAATTCCACAGTAGCTACTTTGGAAAGAGCAAACTGGTGGGATGGGTTCTGGAGGCTCTTGAAGTCTGTCTCTGGCTTTGTGAGGGAGGTAGGAAGAATTAGAAGCCACTGCTGGGTCAGTTGGAGGCCCCTGTCATCAAGACCCCAAAAAGTTAAGTGAGTGTAGCTTCCCACAGCTCTGTCCTTTCATGCACAGCATAAATTGGAAAATGCCAGATGGTGGTATTAGTCCTTAGGCACGCAGTGTAGGGAAGTGGCTGGATGCTGCATCTAGCCTTGTTCTTTTGACTGGCGGGGGCTCCCCAGGGTCTTGGGCAGAAGAGTTGCTCCATCACCTGCCAGAGATCCTTGGACCTGAAATGCCTGGGTTTGACTTTGGACTTTCTGCATGCACAAGAATGGGCTATAGGATTGGATTGGTTTCTTTGAAAGCTCAAGTGAGGAAGGTTGCTCAGCCAGAAAGTAACATTCAGAAATGTTAAAATTAATTAATATTTGCAGCAGATAAGCAGAAAATATATCCAGACGTATGAAGTGAAAGCATAGTACACCAGCAGCCAGGGAAAACAAAAAAAACCATGGTATTTAGATTAATTTTAAGGGAAGGAAAAAACGGAAGGAACAGTGCATAGAGGCAAAGAGGCTAAAGTAAAATGCAGTGATTACATGGAAAAATAACACAAATTAGGGTGGTTTGCATGAAAAGGTTATAAAGTGTAAAATGAACTACTATTGTAACTCCTATTAAGCAACTCTCTACTAGAAGAATGTATTATAATTTTTAACTATAACTTTTACACACAAACTCTAGCAGCTTTAATGATTGCTTAACTGCGTTTTTGGCATCACCTGTAGTTCTTACCAGTCTATACTAGTTAAAACATACCCCAATCCCAAGGGTAGAGCCATTTGAGCTAAAGATTAGGAGGGAGAAGCAATGTGCAGAAGCTGTTTATTCCAATAGGTTGCATAAAGATTGATCTGGGACCCAGGAACATTCAGGAAAGCTGAGCCTCGCAAGAAATGAAATGGGGAATAAAATAAAGCAACGTGAAATGAAGCGAACCAAAAACATGAAGCGACAAGTAACCAGACCCAAAGGATCAGTTTGGAAATAGCCGTGAACAACAGCTTCTGTAGGGGAGAAGGGACATCTGCCCAGGCAAGAAAGAGTAACAAAGCTGGGATCCAAAAATTTATTTATTTATTTATTTATTTAATTTAGGAAACTTCTATGCTGCCCCATTCGCCAAAGCCTCGGGGCGGCTTACATCCATAAATAAACATCCTTAAAATAATATAAATTAACAGTATAAATTAAGTCGCCCTGGCCAAAGAATATAATGAATAAATACTGTTAACAATTAAAATGACTTTTGAATAAAAAGGTCTTGGCCCGACGCCGAAAAATAACGACGGCGCCAGGCGGACCTCTCTGGGGAGCGCGTTCCATAGGTTGGGCGCCACCGCAGAGAAAGCCCTCCTCCGGGTACTCACCCTCCTAATGTCCTTCACGGAGGGCTCCCGGAGAAGGGCCTCTCCCGCAGATCTCAAGGGGCGGCTGGGCATATATGGACGTAAGCGCTCCTTCAGGTAACCAGGACCCAAAAATGGAACATAAAGAAAAGGATTAAAAAACTGAACGGGGTGAAGTGAGCATCGTACCAAGGTGCAGTTTCTTTTTCATCTCCTTTCTGATTGATTCTGTTATTTTTCCTCATTACTAATTTGATTTGCTCCTGGCTAACAGAGGTTGGCGGGAGACACCTAGAAATCTGCAAAGATGGGTTTCCATTGTTTTGGGAAAAGGGTGTGTTTTCACCCTGATGGGGTGCATGAGATCAGCCAGAGTCAGACATGCCTCACCTTGTACCTCCGTTTGAACTGTTGTGTTGTCCTGGCTTGGCTTTCAGTTGGAGCCCACACATGTGAGCGGCCTGTTTGAGAAGGATTCCATAGCTAAGATTATACTCAGCATGAGGGAGGAATTCCTGCCTGATCCTCCGTTTTTCCATGACCACCTTCATGGATCCATTGGGAAGTTCCTCTTCTGCTCCTTGTAGCTATACCCTTGCTTCCAATTATTTCTCCCCTTTCTTTTATCCTCTGCTGAAGAGTCTCTCCCTTCTTCTTTCCCTTTCCTCAACCTTCATTCCATTTTTTCCTCCCTATTAAAAAAATCTTGTTTTGGTTTTTCTTTTCATTAAATCGATTAAAAAACAAAAAACTCACAACCTACGAGTGTTGTATGAGTAGTACAGAGTAGAAATTGTTATTTCTACTCTGTATAACAATTATAGAAATTGTTATTTCTATAATTGTTATATTGTTATTTATTTTATATTGTTAATTTTATATTGTTATTTTTGTATTTTATTGTATTTTATTTTGTGTTGTGAGCTGCCCCGAGGCTTCGGCAAGGGGCAGCATAGAAATGTTTTAATAAATAAATAAATAAATAAATAAATAAGAAAATCTTCAAAACAAATTATACAATAACAAAGACAGTGCATTACAGTAGCGACAAAAAAACCTTCAAAAAGATATCCAGCTTACTTTCTCGTTCTCTCTCCGTCCTCATCCTCTTCTCATCTCCAGCTTTCCCTCCCCACAGTGATGCTCAAAGCTCCGTTTAGGAATTGCTCCAGTTGCGGCAGGAAACTCTTCTGCTTGGGGGAGACCTGTTAGATTGTGGAGCAGGGCCCTCTCCATGCAGATGCCCATTTCAGGTGAGAAAGGCCTGCCTTGGAAACAAAGTCATCATCAATTTTACTGCTTCTCTTGGCCTCGGTTTCCCCTGTGACCGATCCTTACCTCCAGAGATGAGCAGAGCAGTAACCCTAAGCTATAGATGCTCCCCAGGGACCTCCCAGGTGGAGGACAAGTTTTGTCAGGGCGAGTCTCATGCATGCAAAACAGCAGCTGTTGTGGCACATCCCAGAATTAGTGATGTCCTTGCGGGTGAAAGATGCTAAGCCGGGTCAAGTCACTGGAGACCTATTAAGAAATAATTAATGAAGAGGTAAAGCCCTGGGGTGGTTGAAATCGTCATAATGCAAACTTCCTAATTACCCGTGTCTGCTTTGGGAGTTGGACACCCAAGTAAGTGAAGGTCTCATTGTGTCAGGAAGGGATCGTCCTTGGCCGAATGTCAGCATGTAATCTATTCGGTGGCAACAGGACATCAATTTGCTCCAGTTGATAAGCTCCCCAGAGGGGCCTGAAGAAATTCTAGAAGGAGTTGACAGGCTCCCAAGTTAGAGGCTGCTGTAAAGGAATGAAACATCGACATGGGGAAGATTGTGAACTTGTTCATGTGCTGGGAAAAATGGGTCTCCGCTGATGACAAGATGATAGGAAGGAAATGGTGTTGCATGCTTTCCCTTGGCAAAAAGCTCGCTTGAGCTAAGGGCCGAGGTGAGAGCTTTGTGGAAATCTTCCTGTGGAGCATGATTGACAGCTGGTTCAAGGCTCCCGGGAAGGGAAATGCTTATTCGCACAACGCTTCTGGAAGATGTGCTCTTAAGGAAATTTATGGAAGGCAGGCCATGACTAGATGGAGCCTTCATGCAGATGTGGTCCAGATCCTGGAGGTAAAGCTGGGAAAGCTGTTGTATCTGTGTCCTTCTCATAAGTGTTGTGAAACAATTTGATTGCTGCTGTGTTGCAACATCCTGTGTCCACAGTTTCCGGATGCCTGT